AAAAAAAGCACACCAGAGCTTAAAAATGGGACATTGCTTACCAAAATCCAGATGAGGAAAAAGCTGCACCAGCTTGGTTAGAAAGAATAGTACATGCTGGCACAAAGGAAGCTACCCAGCGGGTTCCCACCTCTTCCAGTTCTGGACCTTGCTTTGCCTTTGTTCGTGTTTTCCTCCCATTTGCCAGCTTTCCACTTGGTTTGCATCTACTCTATCTGCCTCACTCAAGCTCGTGACCCATTCCAGTCTTGGTTTGGGTGAGGCATTTGCACGTAGCATGTCCAAATATAATAACACAAGAGAAAAAAAATTTTTTTTGTATGCTCAACATCAGCAGTCGAAACCAGCCCAGGTACCAACTGTGGAACACACCATCATTTACTCATGTGCAAGTTCAAACTGAAGTTAAGAAAATTAAACAAGTCCTCAAGAACCAAAGGATGACCTTGAGCCTATCCCACCTGAATTTGAAAATCAGTTCAAGAATAGATTTATTTCCCCCTGGATAAATCTGAAATCTTGAACACTAATGATTAAAAACCAGAAAAGCAAAAGGTGGTTACAAAGACAAGAAAGAAACAATAAAAAAAGAAGTCAGAAGAAAATATAAAAATTGCATCAGAGCATCGAGAAGTTAAAATAATGGGAAGAGATGCCAAAATAAAAGAGGAATAGAAGATTTCAAAGGGGAGCTTGAGAAGACAAAGCCATGTATTATAATAGAATGTACAAACAGCTAGAATTAGAGAATAGAAAACAAAGAAGTTATTTGACATTTCTCAAGTTGAAATGAAAAAGAAATTCAAGACTCGAGTTGCAATACTGAGAGAAGCAATGGGGAAAATCTTGAATAATCCAGGAAGAAGCAAGAGGGAAGAATTATCTATCAATGTATAAAAAAATTGCTCAGTATGGAAATATTTCAGCAAGTACCATATGCTCAAGACCCAACGGTGATTAGAGAAGAAGTTCAACCTGCATTAAAAGCATTGACAAAAGTAAGGCCCCAAGAATAGACAGGACACCAATTGACATGTTCTAGCTTACAAATGCAACATGCTCACCAGTCTGTGCCAGGAATTTTGAAGACAGCTACCTGGCCAACTGACTGAAAGATATTTTTATTTGTTTTATTCCCAAGGAAGGTGACCTATTAGAATGTGGAAATTATCAAACAATATCATTAATATGACATGTAAGCAAAATATTACTGAAGATCATCCAAAAATGGCTAGAGCGGTATATTGACAGAGAACTGTCCTAAGTTCAGGGTGAGTTTAGAAGAGGCTGTGGCACCAGGGATATCACTACTGATGTTAGATGGATCTTGGGTGAAAGCAAAGAATACCAGAAGAATGTTTAGTTGTGTTTTATTGACTATTCAAAAGCATTTGACTGTGTGGATCTAATTATTGCTAACATTGAGAAGAATGGGAATTCTAGGACCCTTAATTATGCTTATACAAAATCTTTACCTAGACCAAGAAGCTGTTGTTCAAACAGTGTAAGGGACCACTACAAGTTTTGTTTTGGTTTTTTTTTTAATTGTATTATTTTTACGTGTACCGTCAGATCTGACTGGTACAGGAGGAGATTGCCCCCTCCTTCTCCAGCAGAGCATCTGGTGGATTTGAACTACATAACCCTGGGATTGCAGTGCAGCATCTTGCCACTAGGCCACCAGAGCTCCCTGAAAAACCAGTACAAGCTTTAAAATTAGGGAAGGTGTGCATCCTTCTTCCATACTTATTCAATCTGTAGGCTGAGCAAATCATTCGAGAAGCTGAGCTTTATGAAGACGGTGGCATCAGGATTGAAGGAGGACTCATCAACAACCTGTGTTATACTGATGACACAAAGTTGCTTGCTGAAAGCAAGGAGGACTTGAGGCAGAGGACCAAGGTCAGCAGCCTTCAATACAGATTACATCTCAACCTCAAGAAAACAAATTCTCACCACAGAGCCAAAGAAAGTACCATCATGCTTGGAAAGTTGGAGGTTCAGAGAAAGGGAGATAAAGCTCAACAAGATAGATCGATACAGTGTCTCTGGCGATATATAAACGTGTGCTGGGATGAGAAGGATGGCATAAGATAGGGTTCAGACCTGTTGTTCACAGATTGATATCAGCATCATGATAGGTGGAGAAAGATTGATATTATCATTTATGGGAAGCCAAACTTTATACCAAATATTATATGAAAACCCTTGTTCAGGAATTGAAGGAATTACAGGTATATAAGTTAGGGTTCCTCTTGTGGCAGATCCTAGAAAATGAGCTGTTTGTTCCCTGCAAGACAGGAGACAGCAAGGGGCCCCCTACAGAGGGAGTGTTACTTCCTGAGCTAGAGTTCACCCTGAGGCATCAAGGTTAATAGTTAAGGGTAAACCAAATTCTTGCATTTGTAAACCCCTCCCTCCTGAGTCAAGCTGGTTTCCAATAGAAAGAGCTTGGCTTCATTTGCATTGAATTCTCTTTGTGATTTACTTCCTGATATTTTTCAATAAAGATACAGAGAAGCTTGGCTTGGGGTCTTCAGTAGAGAATTGCTGGCCCCCTGTTTTATGCTCTCTGGTCTATCACATTCCTGGCTGTTTGTCTCTTTATTAATAATTATAAAATTATTCCATTCTTTGGGACTCTCGGTCTGCAACAATCAATTATTTCATCTTACTTGGGTCCACAATCAACATAGTTGGTACTAGCAGTCAGGAAATCTTGAGACATAGAGCATTGGGAAAGTCAGCTATCAAGGACCTCTCCAAAGTCCTTAATAGCAATAGAGTCAGTTTAAAGGTGAACCTGATTCAACCCCATAGTCTTCCCCCACTCCCAGTCACCTGTTATGTGTCTGAAAGCTGGACATTAAATAAGGATGACAGGAGAAGCAGTGATGGCTTCGAGTTTAGTTTTGGAGAATGTGAAATATCCCATAGACTGCCAAAAGAAAAAATAGATAAGTCTTAGAGAAAGTGCAACCAAAAGGATGGCAAAGTTCGTCTCTGGGCATGTTACTGGGAGAGCTTATTCCTTGAAAAGGACCATTATGCTTGGAGAGTTGCAGGATCAGCGAAAAGAAGACCCTCAATGAGATAGATCGATACAGTTCCTTTGGCAATGTATAAAAGTGTTAGAATGATAAGAATGGTGTAAGAGAGGGTTCAGATCTGTTGCTCACAGGGTCACTGTGAGTGGTACTTGACTGGACAGCCCTTAGCAACAACAATGCACCAAATCTTTCTGAGAAAGTTACTCTCTAACTGTATGTGGAATTTGTCAATGTATGTGGATTTCATTCATGAGTGGTTCACAAACTTTTTTATTTCACACATCTATCTCCTAGGTTTGACACTCAAGGCTGGATGAAAAGAAAATTGAGAACAGATATTCATTATCCACTCACCAATCTGGACCTCACTCCTTATATTTGTCCACTTTCCCGGAAACATTCTAAATACAATCTCTGTGCAGTGGTGGTAAGTAAAATATTAAAACTGTAAAAAAATAACACACTTTCAAAGAAACATTTAGTTATTTGATTATATCCCTACACTTTCCATCCATTCTTATAAACAAAACAGAGCTTGCAAGATCTTTGATCTTGAACATTAGTGTGGGAATAGTAAAATGAGCTGGTCATTGCCTGTTCACTTTCATGAAATGAAACTGCCTTTTGGTCTAATCCCCTTATTTGCTCCTTTCATGAACTGCCCTTGGTGGTGTTCTGTTGTTTTTCCTTCTCTTATAAACCAAACATCAACTTCATTGCCAACAAGCTGGTTGTTAGTGACTCTTTTAAGTGTGTGCCTCACTGGGCTTCCTAAGCACTATATCACTGCCACATCTTTCTTCTGTGGAGCAGCTGATGTGTTCACTCTTGAGCTTTTTGTTTAGAGCTCTTACCCAGGACACCACCTCTTCTCATTAGCATCCTCTGCTCGAAGTCGCTGATTCCTAGCCAACTCTCCAGCAGGTTTCTGAGGCTGTAAGTCCCATGGGAGGAAGTCATCCATCTTTTTCCTGAGGTGGTACTAGTAGATTCAGCATGCTTGTCAGCAGCTCTTGTCTCCTCTATTTCTAAACTCTGCATTATGTCTATTTTCATTCTCATCACTCACTTTTTACAATTGTTGCTATGGCTTTTCAGAGTTCTTCATTTTAATGTAGCCGTCCCCCTCTAACAATATGGATTTTTTTTTTTTTAATTTGTGTGTGTGTGCCATCAGTTGGACCTAACTGGTACAGGAAGAGATTGTTCCTCCTTCTCCAGCAGAGCATCTAGTTGAGTTTGAACTGCGCACCTCTGGGACCAATATGGAATTTTTATAAGTGGGGTGTGTTTTTTTTTTCTATTTCCTTCTAAAAGTTTTACTATTTTACCTGAACAAGATTTAAAATTTGTTCTAAAATTACACATTTTTCAATGTTTTAAAACTTATTAGGATTACATTTCTCATTATGTAGATATTTTAATAGCGGTTCTTAAGTTTTCCTTACTCATGCATGTGTCTAATCCCCTTATTTCTCCTTGAGGAATCTTGCCACATTTTTTCAGTGATTTGAATAAATATACTTGTGATTTGCTGATTTCACTATAATTCATAAATTTTTATCTTTATTTCCTTTCTCTGTACTTGCTGTTTGGTGTACTTAAGATTGCATTTAAAAAAATTCCAAGTATATGATTTTTCAGTGGTCTCTGTGTGACAGATTTCTGACAGAATCAAATTATCAGAAAATATCAATATTCTATCTGTTCTTTGATATATGTTACTTTGTATGATGATACTTGCTTGTGACCTAGTAATATATGTGCTTGACAATAATTTTGAAATTATATTTTTAGGGTTTTACATACACTTACTTAGGTCTGTCCTGAGGAGGATGAAACGAAGTTATTCTTTGGAGGCAGGTATTTTGAGGCTCCATCTGACATACTTTGGACATGTTGCCAGGATGGACTGGTCCTTGTAGAAGGAAATCATGCTTGCAAGGGTGGAGGGACAGCACAAGAGAGGAAGACCCTGGATGAAATGGACTGACACAGTAACTGGGGTAATAAGGGTAGGAGTGTCAGAGACAGTGAGATTGGCTCAGGATAAGCCAGGGTTCAGAGTTATTGTGCACATGGTTACTATGACTCGTAGTCAACTCAATGGCATATTAACAACATATATCCATTCAATATTCGATTATTACTCACTCAGGACCATCGAGTTGATTCTGACTTGAGGGCCCCTCTGTTGTGTTTCTGAGGTTATGAATCTTAACATGAAGAGACTGCTTATCTGTCTTCCATTCAAATATTATAGTGTCAATAACCTTTTGTTAGCTTCTTTTAAAACTGCAAGATGAGATTTGTCAAATTATTCTAGTAATTATTTCATTTTCATAATTTGAAGGTGTGTGTCATTTTTGAGTGGCCTAGTCAGTAAGGAGTTGTACAACCAACCCAAAGTAAATCTCTTCTTGGCTACTTACAGCTGCTGAAAGGCTTTGGAGGGTCAGCTAGGAATCAGTTCAGACCTAACGGAAATGAGTGTAATTTTATTTCCAGTGAACAGTCTATTTAGGATTATGGGGGAAATCTTTGATCCTTTATCATAAAACTATGCCAGTTTAATTTTGGATGCTGGCTTATTTTTTCTTCTTTTTCTTTCAAATATCATTGTGTGTTACTTTACATTCTTTAAAAACGGATATAGCCTAATAAACAAATGCCAGTGCAATCATCATCAGAATTAGGAACTTAAACATCACCAATGCAAATAACTGCCTTAGTCCTAGACTCCTTTCCTATGACCCCATGCTTCCTTCCCAGGTATTACATTATCCTGAAGTCTTACTACTGACTTTCAAATAATCAATCTCTATACACCCATCATCCAGCTTCAACAGTTCCCAGTCACCTGAAATACCGAAGTCCTCTCCCAGCACCGTATTCTCAGACATGGTCAGAAATACATACTGTGCCCCCTATGTTTTGGGAGTATTTTACTGCTTATATAGAAGTCTTTGAGTTTTAGAGATTTTTTTTTAACTGAATGGCTAATTTTATAGTATTGTATTCTGTATTGTTGTTGTTGTGTACCATCTAGTCAGAACCAGTAACTGACCCTCCAGTGGGGTTTCAGAGGCTTTTAGCTGCATGGGAAGTGAATACCCATCCTTCTCCAGAGCAACAACCAATGGATTGGATCTGTGTGTGTTCCTCAGAATACTCTGGGATTGCAGCACAACTTCCTGCCACTGTTGTTGTTATGTGCTGTCGAGTTGCTTGCGACTCATAGCAACCCTATGTACAACAGCCCTAAACCCTGCTCTATCCTGTGATCGCACTGCCTCTGACACACCCATCCCGATTACCCCAGTCAATGAATCAATCCACCTCATAGAGGGTCTTCCCCTCCTGCGCCGTCCCTCTACCCTACCAAGCATGCTGTCCCTCTCCAAGGACCCGTCCCTCCTGGCAACATGTCCAAAGTATGTCAGACGAAGCCCCAGAATCCTTGCCTCCAAGGAGCAGCCTGGTTTAACCCTCTCCAGGATGAATCTGTTTGTTTTCTTGGCAGTCCTGCCACTAGGCCACCATTAATTATTTTACATTTGTTGAGACTTACTAATTTCTATTTAGTACAAGCTTGTCTGGTTAAAAATCTACCTTTTTTTTTTTAGGGGAGTCTAACTGATGTTGTTGTTGTTCATTGCCACTGTGATTCACAGTGACTTTATTAAAAAATCCAAACCTATCCTGTGCTATTCTCATCATCTCTGACACACTTTAGCCTGTGGCTGCAGTCACTGTGTCAAGCCATCCCATTTAGGGTCTTCATGATGTCCCTTCCTAAGGAATAATGATGACAGAAGATTTGATACCTTTGACTTGTGGTGCTGGAGAAGAGTACTGAATATCTTTATCCCATGGACTGCCAAAAGAACAAAGAGATGTTGGGAGAGAGTGCTGCCTCAGTGCTTCTTAGAGGCAAAGATGACAAAGCTTCATCTCTCATACTTTGGACATGTTGCTGGGCAAGGCTATTCCTTGGAAAGGGACATCATGTAAAGATATCTTACAGCACTATAATTCTGAACAACCACATAAAGTGGCTTAATTTGATATACCCGTAAGGTTATTGTTGTTAGATGCTGCCAAGTAAGACCTATGAATAACCCTATGAAAATCTGAACCTAGTCCTGTCCTGCACCATCCTCACACTTCCTGACACACAAGAGCCCATTGCAGCAGTCACTGTGTCAATCCATCCGGTTGAGGGGCTTCCTCTCCTTTGCTGACCCTCCACCCTTCCCAGCATCATGTCCTACTCCAAGGAACAGGCCCTCCTAGCAACATGCAGAAAGTTCCTTCTTGCCTCCAGAGAGCACTCTGGCTGCACCCTCTCCAAGACATAGCTGTTCTCTTGGCTGTCCATGGGATGTCCAGTGCTTTTCTCCAACACCACAGCTCAAAGTCATCAATTCTTTTCCTGTCATCCTTATTCACTCTCCAGCTTTCATATGCACAGCAAGTAATGAGAAAGACAATGGCCTGAATTAAACACACCTTAATCTTCAAACTGACATCACTTACTCCTCAATAATCTGGAAAGGTCACTACCAGAAGATTTTTTTCCCAGTGCAACGTGTCTCATTTCAACTGTTGGTACCAAGGGTGTTAATTGTGGATCCAAGTAAGAGGAAGCTGTTGACAGTTTAAATCTCCTCTCCATCCATCATGACACTGCCTATCAGTCCAGCAGTAAGGATCTTTGTTTCCCTGGCACTGAGATGCAATCCACACCGAAGTCTGCATTCCCTGATCTTCTGCAACAAGTGCTTCAAATCCTCCTCACGTTTTGCAAACAAGGTTACATTATCTGTATAATGCCGGTTATTGATGAATCTCCTTCCAATCAGCAGACATCATTTATTCATTTGTCTTATATTTACCAAATTCTTTTTTTCCTTACCATCTCCTTTTTTATTATTTTATTACACTCTCTAGTCTCTCTCTAGCACTATCTGCATTAATTACTAGAAATAGAAGTCTAAAAGAATACTTTATATTCTTTTACCTTATGTCAATACTTTTCTTTTTTACACGAAGTCATCAAAACTAAACGTCCAAGCCATATCTGAAGATCAGAGTTGGCCAGAGCAGAAAAGACTATTTGGCAGATACTATGAACCAGCCTCAGGAAGCAAAACCTAATCTAACATAGAGGACTGGGAGGTCTATGAACCAGCCTCAGGAAGCAGGAGCTATCCTTTCATGGAGGACTGGTCAACAAAATCTGGGAGTATTAAGCCTGAAAGGTTCCTTGTTACCCTCTTCAAGGTCTTGAAGTTTTGCATTAGGGGCCCTCCAAGGACGCATTCATTCACTTCTTTATAATGATCCTGCTTTGTATCTTTTACTTTGTATCTTTATAATAAATCCATAATCATCAGCCAGTAAAACAAACAAACAAAAAAACCACCAAAAAACTGAACACAATATTCAGGTGTGTTCTGTTTAAACACTTCCTCATCTGGACATCATCACCAGAGGCTGTGTTTTCTACAATCAAATTATATCACACTACCTCAGATCTGTTGTTCCTAGGACTGGTATGAGCTGTAGTCGATGCGATGCTCCCTAACAACAATGGCTATTATTTCATAACTAAGAAAACTAAAAGCAGGTCAGCTCAGGCCACATGGCAAGGACCAGGACCAAAACATGTATTTTTAAAATCTCAACTTTGGTATATGTTTACACTAGTTCTAAAATTATGTGACGACCAAGAAGGACGGAGGTCTAAGGAAACATTTAATAAGCAATTCCTATGTATTAGATCTATAGTACAAGAGCTATCTGACAATAACTAGGTAAGTCTTAGTGTCTCATTTTAATAGATGAGTTAAAGTTCAAAAAGGTTTATCTCATAAATGTTTGTCGTATATCAAACCATAAAATAGTTTCTTTTCCTTCTACACAAAGAGTGCCTATTTTATTCTGTAAAAGGTCAAACAGCAACTATTTTAGGTTTTGCAAGCTATATGGGTTCCATTCAATTCTACCATTGAAAGCATGAAAACAGCCACTGGCAAAAACTGAATGAACTACCACAGGTATGCTAAAAGAAGCCTTATTTATGGGCATTGACATTTGAATCTCATGTCATTTTAACAAAGAAATAGTATTCTGAATTTGCTTAATGATATATAAAACCATTCTGAACTCACCAGCCATATAGAAACAGGAAGCAGGCTGGTTCTGGCACATGAGGTACCCAAGGTTTGCAAGCCCCTGTTCTACACCATACTCCTCCCTCTTTCCTGGGACAGGGTTACCTGGACTATGTTACTGAAGGAGGAGTTGCATATCCCTGTAAGCTGTGCCACAGCAATATACATTGGTATAAAAACCTTTTTTCCCTAATGCTAAAAGTCTTTCTTATGTCTTAACTTGGCCTCAGTATTAAACTGAAAACTCGTTTAGTCAAGTTTACTTCTTGCTTATTTTAAAGTTTTCTTAATGTCTAACATGTTGTTACTGAGTATCGTCAAGTCTAAACCTGCCCGTAGTCTTCCCTTCAGTGGATTTTCAGAGGCATTTGTCCAGCTTTCTCCCATGGAGCATTTGGTGGATTCGAACTGTGTACCTTCAAGTTGGCAACACAACTCCTTATTATTAGGCCACCAGGAGTTCAACTGCAATTCAAGGTGACCTCAAATGTTGACAGTTTAGATATACTAAGTGCTCAGTGTGTTATCAAATATTGTCCTATTGAACTGATTTTGTTAAATAGTCAATGGGAATAAAATAGTATAAACAGATCTAATGAATGAAAAACAATATATGCATAGTTTAACAAAATTAAAACTGCCTTTTAGTTTAATATCAAGGACAATTATAAGAAAATGCCTTCAAACCTACCTGTCTTGTCCTAATAATTACAATGTTCACATGTGAATACTAAGCATGATATTCATTGTCCCCACAGAACCACTTTGGTGACCTGGATGGTGGCCACTACACTGCTTTCTGCAAGAATTCCACTACCCAGGCCTGGTACAGCTTTGATGACACCAGAGTCTGTGAGATTCCAAGTACTTTAGTTCAAACTGCTACAGCGTATCTTCTATTCTACAGCTGTCAGCATTTTTCTGTACCCACTCAAAAACTCAAGAGCTAGGAAAATGTTTTCTGAAAAATGACAAAACAAGCAAGCAGAAACTGACAGTTAAGTTTTGCTTTGTCATTAAAGTCTAGCAATTTACTCGCATCATTAATTTTTAAGTCCTTCTGGGAAGTGTGCAATCTTTTATAAAGACGAAAGAAGGGCCTGGCCCACTGAGAAAAGGAACTGTAAAAATTATGCAACACTTATGGATGCTCACAAGGTCACTAGGAGTTCTAGTCAACTTGATGGCACCTACAACATTGAATGGGGAGCTTTCAAGTCACTGCAAGTTATGTGCTGTGTTCAGATGTAAAATTCAATATTTACAGGGGGGATTTTCTCATATGATTTCACTCACCAAACCACTTTCCAAAGATACTTCTTGGAGCTCAACCAAAATGGCTCAGTGACCTTAAAATGTGAATTCAGGTTAGCTCTCTAGTGGCCTACTGGCAAGAAGCTGCATTGCAATCCCAGAGGTTCGAATACACCAGAGAGGGACAATCTCTTCCTGTACCAGTCAGATCTGATTTGACAGTACGCACATTAAAAAAATAATAATAATAAAAATTAAAAGAATGTGAATTCAAAATATTTACTTGATAACTTAATTAAGAAGCTACAAGTCTCTTGGACTAACTGCAGAGCATAACAATTTCTCACCTTCACAGTTCAACTCACCCTCACCTTTTACCTTCACCCTGAGAGTGCAGTGACGGTGGTATATCTGCAAGCATACTTGTAGACCTTTATTTTTTTAATCTCATTTTTATATGCAGTGTCTTAATAACTTAATATTGCAACTGAGTGTCCTGAGGTGAAGTCTAAGTTTCTCGATTCCTTTTAATGCATCACTCTGTAAAGACGTAGTTCATAAGGGAATTCATTTTGCAATGTTATCTGATCCTATCCTTTATTACCTGAATCCTAAGAATTCTTCAACTCTTGATAAAATGGTTCTAGGTGATAAGTTATTCTTTCTTAATTTATCCTCTAAATATGAGCACTATGTGACATGTGGTTCTGGTATCAACTGAAGGTAGAGTGGAATTAAGCCCTGATGCAACAGGAAAAACAAACTGAGTTTTAAATTCATGTAGCAGGAGAAAGCATGTGTGTTTAAGAATCTATGGTTGTAATGTACTGTGTTTTGCAGAATAACATTAAAGACAGACCACTTACAGGGTTTTAAGTTATTTTTCTCATTAAGATTTTAATGTAGGTGTAAATGAAATTCTCATTTTAAAAAAATTAAAGAAAAGTTTCCATTTATTTTTTAGAATAAAGATTTAGTGCACAAATACAGCCCAAAGCCAACAGAAAAATAGCTTTGCTCTGTCATTTCCCTAAGAAAGCACTGCAGTTACTCAGAATAGGCCAAAAGAAGAAAAAAAAAAAAGAGCAATCCTCTCTGAGTTCTAGGCTTCACAAAAGGACCACTTTATACTATGTACATCGAATTGATGTGCAAGTGTGCAATAAATATATACACATACATTCCTATCTGCTTTACATCATTCTATTCATAATTGGTCAAGCTGGGATTTATAAATGTGAGAAGGCCATTAACAGTGAAAAGGAAAAGAAAGAATGTAATGGTTCTTATATCAATGGAATAATAATGCTTAACTTGAGAATTATTTTAACTTTGGAGCAGACTTAAAAAGTTGTTTTGAAGTAACTGGTACCTGTCAGGGTTGCTTACTGCAATACTTGTTAGATGCCTTACGTCAGTTTTTTAATATGAGCACTGACCTGAAATACATGATGCTAGTTAACACAGCTCCCACTGTCCTATGATTCCTCTAACTGGACCGCTGTCCAGTTGTGATTTGAAGAGCTGTGTGACTGAGTCTTTGAAAAGATAACTATCTTACTACCTATGTCTCCTTATGTGGCTACATCAGTTGCTCGTGGTCCCAATGAAGTATAAAAGAGAATATAAGCTGCTGAAGATTTCACAGAAGAGACGGAGATGTCAGAAACTTCATGATCATCAAACTTAAACCACCGCTGTCTTGCTGCATTTTTACAATAGGCAGTGTAGTGGCCTCCATCCAGACCGCCGTAGTGATTCTGTGCCAAACAGACAGAAAATCAGTTCAAATTGAGTGATTTAAAATATGTCACCAATTTCAAAGCTTCATGTTGTCCTTACTCTCCTATGAGGTAAGGAATCACAATGAACTCTTATTTTTATTGTTTTTCTTTCACTTGCATGACAGGTAGGGTGGGAATGTTCAATGAGATACTTACTGAAACAGAAAACAAATTATATCTCTTCAAATTGTTCCTTGGACCAATAACATATTGTGACAAATCGAGATTCTCTAATGGAAAGTCCACGGATGTCTGTAATTTCTGTTTCCACCTCCCATCATAGGAAAAACTAGAGTAAAACATTAGAGATAACAATGACAGAATGAATGTTTATTCATTCATTAACCAGCAGATTAGCCAGGATCACATAGCCATTCACATACAGAGACTATAATTTTACAAGGGATCTGTTCAAGACATTTATTTTTGTTTCTATTTTTCAAAGTAGAATCAAAGGCTCTGAGATATTAAGTTACATGAGCAAGGTGAATAGCTAGACTAACCATGCAGAACTCTGGTTTGCTGACCCTTGGACCAGCTACTTCCATGAGGGATGGTTAAAAGGTTTAGGTTGTGACCATTCCTCGGAAAAACCAACGTGTAAAATGCTATTTCTAAACACCACAAGAAAACAGAGGGTGAGAGCTGTTCTAGAGTTAAGCTTGTATTTTTAGAAGACAAGTGTAAAAATTTGTAGTTGAATAATAGAAACAATAACATTTAAGCAACAAAATACTGGGATTTTTGTTTATGTGTTATTATAAAATTGTTCTTTAAAAGCCTATATTTGTGCCATTTATATTTTTAGATCTTCTCTAAGAGTAGTATGCAGCACTAAACTCTTAAGAGTACAAATACGCACTCATGCATGGACTATCTATATATCCCAATAATCCTTAAGAGAAAGAAAAAACAAGTGACAAAATAAGCCTTTATTTAAAAATAAAAAGAAATTCAAGGACATGCACATGTTAATACTGAAACCACTAATTGTCTACAGGATTTTCAACAAAGCAAGATGAAAGAATAAAGTAAAATAGAAATGCTTTCTTTGAAACAAAAAATGACAGCTTACTCTCCTTAAAAAAAAAAATCTCTTAAAAACAAAACAAAAAACCAGTATTAACCAAAAATGCAGTTATCACTCCATGGATAGAATACTTGAACATGAAAATGAAACAGAAGGAAGAAAAACATCTAAGATTTCTTTTTCAACTTTCTCCATTATTCCTCATTCCTGATATTAGAGGGAGGGAAAAAAAATCCCTATGTTTCTGAGTAGAACTGTGCTCCCATGCTGTCTATTTTCAAATCAGAACTAGGCTTTTCTGCTGAGGCCTCTCTGGGTGAGCTCCAACCTCCAACCCTGTGGCTAGTTGTCTGCACGCCTACAAAAAGGCAAGAGATTCTTTATTAGCTGGGCAAACATGGACAAAAGTATAACTGCATCGTTAATCTACTTTATCTTTAAAAAATCATATACTTTACATTTAAAATATGTTGTTTCATTAGGAGCTTTTATGTTTTCATTTGATGATTTAAATGTTTACCCATGATGTGCAGTGATCATTTTACTGATTTTTTTTAAACTTCGAGTTATATGGAACAGTGATACTGTCATTTTTGCCTTAATGCTGTAAACACCAAGGTGAGCTAACAGAGTCCTCAATATTTCAGCTTTCCTAGAGCAGCTCTAATCTCTGTTACGTACTCTTAACAGAAATATAATGCCATATAAATAACACAGGACTTCATCTAAAACATACTGACAAGTAGAAAAATTTGTCCTGTTACCGTTTTAGATGCACTAAAAGCACAGGTGGCAACTTCCATATTTCTATCTTTTTCAGAGAATCCCGTCGGGCTCTGCAATGACTGCAGTAAAATCTGTTGTTATCTGTGAGTTTTTCTTCTTTGGAGAATAATCTAAGGCAATCCTGGTGGGGGAAATGAAGTAGCAGAGACTCATTAACTCATTTCTTCAACACCCTGAGCACCCATTCACTAAGTTACTCTGCCAGCCAGTAAGGATACAACAGTAACTAGAACAAGACAGGCCGTCCTCACAGAGGTTATGGTCTAGAGAGGAAGTGAAGAGACAAGTACAACTGTGTGTGTAGGGTTAAGTGCTCTGATGGGGGAAGGAGGATTATGCCAGGAAAACATAGAGGAAGACCCTTAGTAAGGAAGAGGTGCTGGAGAAAAGGGCATTCTGGAGAAAATGAGGAGAGTCAACAAGCTTCAGACATCATCACTGCTATGTGCGAAACAAGATATTTATCTGAGATCACAGAAAACCACTTACTTGTCAAAAAAATACCTAAATTAAGATTGTCTTACGCTCTTCCAAATCAACCTTTAAAATGTCTGAAAGACTATTTTTTAAAAAGATGTCTTAAGAAAAGTCATAATTTAAAAAGTCTACATAGGCATAAAAGAGCTGGACAATGACTAGGGATGATAGAAGGAGAACTGATGCCTTTGAGCTGTGGTGTTGGAAAAGAGGAATATACCATGGACTGCTAAGAGAACGAACAGGTTCGTCCAGGAGAGGGTTAAACCAGGCTGCTCCTTGGAGGCAAGGATTCTCAAGCTTCATCTAACATATTCTGAACATGCTGCAAGGAGGGACCAATCCTTGGAGAAGTACATTATGCTTGGGAGGGTGAAGGGATAGTGCAGGAGAGGAAGACCCTCTATGAAGTGGATTGATTCGGAGTCTTGGGTGATGGGATAGGTGTGTCAGAGACAATAGGATTGGCACAGGATAGAGCAGGGTTTAGGGCCATTGTACACATGGTTGCTCTGAGTCATAGGCGACTCGACAGCACACAACAACAACAACAACATAGGCCTAATTGCAACAGCATCTATGTATGTGCTTTATCTATAAATGGTAAAGACCAGAAGCAAATGGCTGAATGAATTACATCTCTGCATGAATATGAACAGTATCTATCTGATAAATAATTTTCTCCCAATCTAAACTTACCTGTAGTGTACATTTACTTGTGGATGCTAGTGGCAGAGACAAATACATAAAGGCCTCAAATGTTCTAGACTTTTTATGACATGTGAGGCACTGTACTGTGGACTTGAACTGACCCTGAAAAAGTGCAACAATAATAGATTCATTGAGCTGCTTGTGTTTTTGCCAAGCATATTCTGCTGCTTTAAAGTCATCAAGATGATCATTATTTTCTTCTTTATGCCGCTTCCGATTATCAGCCTGAAAGTATAATTAAAACTCCATTATTAATATCTCAAAGATGACATTTAAACAAAATATGTGCCATTAAATATGAACACTTAAAATCTAGAACCATTTGTAATTCATATAAAGGAAAGTATAAAATGTCTGAACTCAACCAGAATGTAAACAAGGTATCTAAAAATATAAATTACTGAGGCAAAGGTATCAAATGAGACAGAAATTCTTTGGGCTCTACTATATCTGATGTCATTAAATGTTATGAAGAAGTAACCTTACATCCCTCTTTTCCTACAAAACCCCAAACCAAAACATCTTCCACCCCAAGAAAACCACACTTTATCAAAAGGGTGTGACTGGCTGGGATATCTTAATAATTTGTTATTAAGAATCTAAAATGTCTGATTTGAAAACAAGACATCCTACATATAGGTGGAAGTTAAAACTACAACAACTAGATAGATATAATCTTAGTCTTAAAGGTAGAGATATTATCTATTTGTATCTATATGTGTTATCTACCTATACCCTATGAAATATATCAGGGGAATGAATTCTGGTGACCTAGCACTAAGGAGCTGTATTGCCAACACAAAGGCACTTGGTTCAAATTGACTAGCTTCTCTGTGGGAGAAAGATGTGCAATCTCCTCCCATGTGATTTATTGTCTCTGAACACTCACAAGAGGATCAGCTATGGGTCAGTTCTGACTCTCCAGTACAAAACAGTAACAATATGAAATATATTTGTTGTACAGTTCCATTATCTTAGAACAAAGGCACTAGAATTGATTAAACTAACAGTGAATAATCATCAATAATTTCCTATCACTAGGAAAAAATTTAATGATACTGAGCAACTGTAACAAGCAGAGTCTCAGCAATTTAGAAAAAACAAATTCTTACTTTATTTAGGTCTTCATGGAGACCATCCATTAGAAACAGAAGCAGTTCTTGTGAATCTTGCTGGCTGTATCCTGCAAATTGGTCATTGATCTTCCCAATGGTGATTTTAAAGTCTTTTGGACTAATATACCTGTACTGTCCTGTCCATAGGGCTTTCATGATTATTCCAAATTCTTCTGCCACTTCACCTTTATGTCCCAACAAATTGGACCTTTGCAAAGAAAATTATAATTAAAAGAGATCAAGAAAAAACTTACTGTTAACATATTGTAACCCTAAAATATTTATTTTTCAAAGTTTTATTAGGGAGTTCAGGCTGCCTAGTGGTAAGAATCTGTGCTGCAATCTGAAAGGCATGCAGTTCGAATCTGCCAGCTGCTCCTCGGGAGAAGGGTGGGGAATCTCTTCCCGTGCAATTAACTGTCTCTGAAAACACGATCGAGGGTCAGCTATGAGTCAGTTCTGACCTGATGGTACACAACAATAACAAAGGTTTATTGAAAAAAAAAGCCCAAACCTTAATTTGACATTAGACTCTTCCAACATGCTCCTTTTGGTTGACAGCCTTGCCCTGCCTCCTCTTCCCAGGTTCTGCCTTCTCACCTTCTAAAGCCTTCTCCTTTACCCATTTGTTCTTAACAATCAGAAGGTTTTTTTTCTCTAGTTTCTTTTTAATAGCAAAGAGGGTTTCCCATTCACTAATTCGACTTCTCTGGAGCTGGTAGATCAGTGTCATAGTATTACATTTTTAATATAATACTTGAAAAAGCTATTAATTTCTTTACCTGTTAATATCATCCTGATAAAAGTTTCGGTTGAAATAATCAGCCAAGTGTGGAGCATTACATAGGCACTGCAATATTGAGTTCATGTAACAAGTATTCCCTAAATTACGAAGCCCAGTGAGTGCTGGTCCAGATCCTCCAAACACAGGATTGAGGTTCCGAATCTGAGAAGCAGAAAGCCTTGAGATCTCAGCTTTAGGGTAGCATATTGGCCTGAGAAAGAAAAAGTGTACAAGACGTCTTAAAATGCAGAGCATCTAAAATTAAGGCTCATGGAGCAAATGGCAGGCTCTTTAGCACCTGTACCCCAGTAACCCTTTAGACAGTTAAAGATAGCTCAACAGCCCTGGGCCTTACAAGGCAGTTAGTTTCCTCTCCTAGAACGAGTAACTTTAACTTCTTATGTGGGCCCATAGTACTTAGAGATCTTCTACAGATGGATTATGTAACAAACCCAACAAGTTTAACATCATCAAATGTACGTGCTCAACCAGAATGTAAAACAAAACATCTAAAAATATGTATTTACTATGGAAAAGATATCAAATGAAGTCGAAGTTCTCTGGATACTGTTCTCTAAAGTCCAGAACTGAGCTAACAAATATGGAAGCCATTTATCACAGGTTTTAAAAAGGAAAATATTTGGGGGAGGGATTGATTGTATAACAATGAAAGAATTTTACTTTTCAAAGAGAAGAGTGAATTGGGGGGAAGAGTGGGCAGGGAGAAAAGTCCAACAATCAATGAATGAATGAAAATCTTAAGTCTCTTAATAAAAAAAAGAAAAATATTCAGTTCTTTTACTAGGCACATACATTTCAAAATAACTATATATTATATCCTATATAATAGGATATAAGACAAATAAAACTTTTCTATCATCATAGAAAGATCTATTGGATAATCCCAGATTAGAAAATGCTTCCCAATATATTTGGTTTCAAAAGTTCTAGTGGCTTAATGGTAAGGACCAATTGCTTCGAGGGAGAATCATGTGTGGTTTACTGCCTATGAAAACTTGCTGGAGGGTTAAGCTATGAGTTGATTCTGACTAGACAGTACATAGCAGCAATGGACTTGGTTTATAGTGTTTCGCCAGGAGAAAAATTTTAACTAATAGATTTTTCTCTTATTATCAACCTCTAGCATTCCTGCACTCCTAAAATGTCATACTGAGAACAGACTATAAATGAAATTTCAATCACCTTTTCTTTTACAAGTGTACAAATCACATACTTATGCTTTCTTTGTTCAATACATATAAAAACAGAAATCACATTAGTATCTTTTAGGACACTATTATTCAAACAACAAATGCTGGTGAGGTTGTGGAGAAACTGGAAGCCTTTTTCATTGTTGGTGGGAGTGTAAAATGGTGCAACCACTATGGAAGGCTGTATGGCGCTTTCTCAAAAAGTTGCAAAAAGAAATATCATTCGACCCAGCAATTCCACTACTGGGAATATACCCTAAAGAAACCAGAACTGCCACCCAAGCATATATATATACACACACACACACACACACATCTTTACTGTGGCTCTGTTCACAACAGCAGAGTTGAAAACAGCCTAAGTGCCCAGCAACAAACGAATGGATAGAGAAGCTGTAGTATATTCACAATGGAATACTACGCAGCAGTGAAAAACAAGGAACTCATGCGATATTATGCAAAATAGATGACCCTGGAGGACATTATGCTGAGTGAAATATCTCAGTCACAAAAGGACAAATACTGCATAGTGCCACTGTTGTAAAAAGGGACTGCCATAGGGGTTGGGGGGCAGACTGTGGAAAATGGGATAAATTATTGAAACAGATGAGGGAAAGAAGTGTTTAAAAGGGATATATGATTAGGTATTATTGTCATGACAGGAGTCCAGAGCAAAGGCTGCAGAGTGGAGTGGACTTGGGAGAAGGAATTGTATAACAATGAAAGAATTTTTCTTTTACTTTTCAAAGAGAAGTGTGAACTGGGGCAGGGGAGATTGAGCAAAGAATGAATGGAAATCCAAAGTCTCTGTAAACTTTCATTAAAATTAATTAAAAAAATTATATTAGAAAAAAGTTGCCTTTTCAAAATAAGGTTGACGTTAATGATGTAGATAGAATAAACATTTCTGGACCTTCAAAAGAAGACACTGTTATTAATTCTTAGTATGAATAAGATTTAAAAAAGTATTTAATCAGTTTTTAGAATGAGCCCTAAAAATCTTTAACAAGATTTATAGAATTTTAAAAAGTTGTTCCCCATCATTCCTCATCTGGCAGAGAAATTCTCACAAGGGAAATAGAAAAAGTGCTCTCTTGGCTGTCCAACAAAAAGGACCAAAACTGATGCTTAAGTGGAATTCTTAGGAAGTAAGGAGTATGTATAGGAGCTCTGGTGGCCTAATGGCAAGGAGCTGAGCTGCAATCTCCAAGGCACGTGATTAGAGGCCACCAGCTGCTCCATGAGGATGGGCAATCTCCTCCCATGCGATGAACTGCCTCTGAAAACCCACTCTGGCTCCAGCTCTATGGTACACAACACCAACAACATGATAAACAAGGAGCTCCGGTGGCCACAGATTGTTGCACTGCTAACCAAAAATGTGATTCCAATCCACCAGGAGCTCTGAGGAAGAGATTTACAGGTCTGAAAGCCCCACAGAGGGTTGCTATGAGTGGTAATTAACTCAATGACGTTGAGCTGTTTACTATTAGAAATAGAAAAAAAGAACTCATTTTTTATACTCCCATCTAAACCTCCCTATTTAACCCTCTCCATTAAAAAAAGCAGGTAGCTTTGAAAAACCAGCTCTTTGTGATTCAATCAATCATAATATGATTCCAGAAACATTACAAGATTTTAAAAAGGATAAACCTAGAAGTATATATAATGAGATAGTTTGGGATACTCAAGCTACTGATCATTATTTGTACACAGATCAGCTGAAGCACAGTGAAGTAAAGGAAGCTAACAACGGAACCTAACAATGAGGGTGCAGAGCTAATTCATTATAACCCCCATTCTTTTAATGCTACATAACTTTGCTCTTATAAAGCAGAGCTGGAGGGAAAAATGTTTGGCATTAAAGGACACCATGCAAACTCAATAAACCTGTATGTTAAGGTCATCAAAGGGACATTTATGGATTATAAAAGGTCTAAGGAAAAACTCTCTATAGTCTGTGGTAAGTTGCCTTAAAATAGAATAATATCTATAATATCTACATTAATAGTTAAGATAATCCGACCTGGTTAAGATATTTCACACTTGGGGAAAACCTGAGGATGTTTTCTTCATTTCTATTTCATTAATGTCTGATAGCTAGCCACAGAAATGTATGATTTTCTAAGATGAAGAAGCTGACATACGAGCAGACATTTTAAACTATAACAAACTATTCTAAAAAATTAGATAAACATACTTGTTTTCTCGATTTACTGTTGGAGTTAATGTTAGCTTCCTTTTCTCTTCCTCTTGAACAGCCTGGGTTATATCTGGAGAGGAGTAGGAGCGTTTCAGTTTGGATGGTTCTCTGTCCCGCTCAGCAGGAATCTGTGGCTTGGCTTTACGAGTTGGAGGGGTGGAAGGAGGCACAGATGAAGGAGCCATTTCCGGTGGATACATATGAACAGTGTTGGTGGGTGAATGGTAATAACGAAATGTTCCAGTAATTGGATCAAGAAACTAGAAAAGAATAAACAAAAGAAAAATAATTATTATGTAAATAAATAAGTTACTCAATTATTACTATATTACTAACTCTTCTTTTGTATCAAAATAATAATTTTACTAAAACAGCAGTAATAATGAAGCTCTGGTGGTCAAGTGTCAAGAAGCTGTGCTTAAAAAAAAAAAAAAAGAAAGAAGCTGTGCTGCAATCCTAAATGCACATAGTTCAAATCCACCAAATGCTCCACTGAAAACGTGCAGTCTCCTCCTGTGGCAGTCGGATATGAATCAATCACACACAACAATAAAAATAAAATTTAAAAAATGTAACCAAAAAAAGTTTTAAAATAGCAGTAATAATCTCTATAATTAAAGTTCAGAAAATTTATGTTTCTAAATAATTTGCTGTTTCATGTCAAATGTCACAATTGTTCACATTCTATCCTGTTTTGCTCAGACTGCATAACAAAACATTTAAGTCTGCTGTAATTAAAGAAAAGATCTATATCCTCTATAATGAATAAAGAAATGATTCTGTATTAGAGAAAATGTAGACTAAATAAAAAAATTAGGGGGACATTCATGCACAGCAACTGTCTTATTTCTTTACTAATTCTGGCTCTTACCTTAGCCCAGCCTAAAGGTAGTCCAGGTACAATTCTCCCCATTTCTTCACTCCGAGCTCGTGTCAAAGGTTCTCGCTGAGCCTAGTTTAAAGGGAAAAAATATAAAGCATCTGATTTTTCACACCATGCTTCCATATATTAATTTATGCTATTCATACTAACAAATAACTTTTCTGTGACTACTTTTAGGATTTTTTATACTTTGTCTCCCATACTTGGGGCATGTGTCCAGGAGGAACTGATTCTTGGAGATGGACATCATGCTCAGAAGGGTGGAGGGACAGCACAGGAGAGGAAGACCTCGAGTGAGATAGACTGACACAGTAACTGGGATAATGGGGGTAGGTGTGTCAGAGTCACTGAGATTGGCTCAGGCCAGGCCAGGCTTCAGAGCTGCTGTACTCAGGGTCTCTATGAGTTGCAGGCAACTTGATGGCACATAACAACAACATACTCTGTCTATAGTTACCATAATCTCCTCTATTTATTGCTTCTAAAATATTTATGAGATCTTCTACATCTGATGTAGCAACCTAAATATAATTAGATAGTAATACTCTGCATTCACTGATCGTGTGAAACACAATGAGAATATAAAAATGTGTGAAATGCAATGTACATGAATGGTACATGGTGCATATGAATTTTGTATGCAAACTAATATAAGATAGAAATAAAGTATGAGGTAATATCCTCCAATACCAGTCAGTTCAGATTTGATGGTACACACATAAAAAATAATAAAGTGAAAGATAAATAAGTGTGAAGAGGAAACCCCTGTTGGTAACAGAAAACAAAATCCTATGATAAGCCATATAATAATTATCTTTATGTTGTTCAGGCCTTAAAAAAATCATACACATCACTGAATACAAACACATAATAAACAGAATTTGTGTAATGGAAATAAAGTTATCATAATAAATGCAAATGGAAAATTGGGAAAAGATGATTAAAAAAACCCATATAAAACAATTAATTTAGACATTTTCTTCACATCATATGCAAAAATTAACTCAAAATGGATCAGATTTCATGTTAAGAACTAAAACTAAATTTCTTTTTAAAACACAAGAAAGATCAAAAGTACGATTCACATAAATAAAAATTTATCAGACTGCAACAAAAACTTTTGTGCTTCAAAAGACACTACTAAGATGGGAGCTCTGGTGGCCTAGTGGCAAGATGCTGCACTGCAATCCCAGAGCTATACAGTTCAAATCCACCAGATGCTCTGTTGGAGAAGGAAGGGCAATCTCATCCTGTACCAGTCAGATCTGATTTGACAGTACATATAAAAATAATACAATTAAAAAAAAAGACAAAAACAAAGATGATAAAAAATCTGGGATAAAATATTTGTAAATCATCTTTATTAACTATGAATTTATCTGGAATATTGCAATGAACTCATGTAATTTAATAACACAGTAACTATGTTTAAAAATGAGAAAATCTGAACACACATTTCACACAAAAAGACTAAAGTTAAAACCACAGTGATCATCAACTGCCTGCTTTGCTATGAGATGATAGCTGACTCCTACCATTAATAATTAATAATTAATGGTAATAGTACTAAACATTGTGATCAAAGATTCTACAGAGATATCCTAATCAAAGGTGGGAGGGATGCAGAACAGAATTTAAAATTTTCATGAGCTTCACACTTCTCTGGATGAGCCCTTAAATAATTATTTTAAACTTTAAAAATATCCCCTGAAGTCTTGTTTGGTTATAATCAAACAATAGTTCAGTTTAACCACTAGAAATATCTATCTTAAGCATACACTCTTTTAAGAATTATGTTGGGTCAAACTTACAATACTAACTCAATCAGGAGGTGGTGAGTTTAAGTTAATGGGGGAAGAACACAGAAAGGAAGGTCAGAATGGTTGTATACCTTGAAGAACATAATAATGTCAGTGAATTGTACAGACAAAACTGTTCAACTGCTCTATGCTTTGTTGTATATATTCTCAACAACAAAATAAATGGGGGAAAAAAAATCCCTGAGATACCACTCTTACACCCATTAGAGTGGTTACAATTAAAAAAAAATAAATTGAAAGCCAGACTACAGTGTTACTAAGAATGTTGAGATATAGCAACTCTCAGTCATTGCTGTTGGAAATGAATTTTGGTGGGTATGTAGAAAACTTCTGACAGTTATAAAGAAAAGGTAAAAGTTGTTTTGTTTTTAAACTAACCAAAACAATGAAAAAAACCTCAAATTCTATGCTTAGATATCTACTCAAAAGAAATAAAAAGTTGTTGTTGTTAAGTGCCATCGAGTTGCCTGGGCCTCATAGTGACCCTATGTACAACAGCCCTAAACTCTGCTCTGTCCTATACCAATCTTGTTGTCTCTGACACATCTACCCTCATTACCCTATCACTGAATCAATCCATCTCAACCAGGTTCTTCCTCTCTTGCTTTGTCCCTTCACCCTCCCAAGTATGACGTCTCATTCCAAGGAATGATCCTGCCCTGCAACATGTCCAAAGTATGTCAAAATCCTTGCCTCCAAGGAGCAGCCTGGCTTCAACCTTTCCACGATGAACCTGTTTGTATATTTCCACATAAATATTTGTAAGTGAATATTCACAGAAATATTGTAATAGCCTAAAAGTTCAAACGTCTATCAGTGAGTAAAAGAGATACATAAAATGTGGAATTATCCATACATTTGAATACTGTGTAGTGATAAAAATAGAATGGACTACCAATATATGTTAAAATATGACTAAATCTCAAAAGCCTTATGCTAAGTAAGAGAAAGCTGACACAAAGACCAGAGATTACAGGCAATTCCATTTTTGAAAAATGCCTGATAAAATACCCTGCTCTTTTTTTTGTCTAGGCTGATGTCAACTGAGTCTCAGCCTACTTTCACCAAAGCATCCATTTTAAATAAAGTATATTTGTTGTTATTTAAGGAAAAAAAAAAAAAAGACCAGAAACAGAGGCTGGTAGGTGCAATGGGGAAGAACTATGATAGCAGCTTTTATTGTGAAATGTTGTATAATCTTTGGTTGTGATAATAACTCATAACTGCAAGTTACTAAAAATCAAATGATTCAAAACAGAAAAATGAGTAAACTTTATGGTATTAACAATATTTGAAGCTCAAATAGAAACAAAGGCAAGGATGTTTAATTTTTAAAAAGTGTAAGGATTTTCATCATTTTATAAAATCAATACTTCTCAACTTTGAGGAAGACAGATGTTTACTCCTTTAGTGTATCAATCCTTTAGCGTGTAAAAACCAAAAAAAAAAAAAAAAAAAAAACCTAAAAAGACCCCTGTGAGAGAGTAGATCTCAAGATGATGTTAACTACACATGGTTATCAATCATTTCTTCCTCCACAATGAATTACTTACTTTATTTCTTTCAGCATCCTCTGTATTTTCGTTAATAGTTGCTGTCTTTAGAATTCCACTTTCTGATTGTTCTTTAATTTTAACAGGCTGTAAAATGGTAAAAATCCAGAAGTATAAATGAACTTTCTCCAATATATCACTAGTTTAAACAACCAAATTCATTCCACGAAAAATTAAAAAGTAAGGAAGAAACTGCAGGCCTCTGAAAATATTATTCCATTTCACCATTAGATTTAAAAGATACTTTCAGTTAAAGATTTTAAAGCCCTTTTGTAATTTCCTGATATCCTAAAGTTGAAAGATTCAGAAACCGATGAATCAGTGGGGAAAAGAAGAGGGAAAAAAAAAGAAAACTAAAGTGGATGAACAGACGCACAATACATGGTCAAGAAAAAGAGACTGGCCATTTGTGTATATCCATCATATTCATCTTGGGCTCATTAGAACATTATCCTTTTATTGAAAAGTCTCATGATTTTGGTTACTATGAAAAGAAGCAATGCTTTTAAAAAAGCAAATTATTAAAGAAAATGAATATAACATTTTATATAGCACAAAAGTGCAAATCCATTTTATGTCCTCTTGGAACAAAATGTGGTTACATAACACATAATTAATTTTTAAAAATACTAAGGGGGAAAATCTTTTAATTAGCAACATTTTAATAAAATTTATCCTAAAATAAATTATATACTTATCTACTTTTAAAATGATTACGCAACAAATGCAATCTTAACTATTTTAATCCTATTGCAGGAAATACCAACAATTACGTGATCATCTTGGGGTTACTTGGCACCTCTACCAATAAGTAGACCCCATAAGTGTGAATGGTTTAAGTTCTAATGACTATCAGCTTCAAATATGGCAAGATGGAAAAGGAATGTTTTTAGAACCTAACTACTGAAAATCTCTTTAAAATGCTAAGAAACAAAGATGCCACTTTGAAGACTAAGGTGAGTGTGATCCAAACCTTGGAATTTTCCAGTTGCCTCGTATATATGTGAAAATTTGACAAGAACTGTACAATATATATTACAAGAATATACTATGGAATATACTATGAACTGTACAGTCCTACTCCACCCCTCCACACCAAAAAAGAAAAAAACAAACCAAAAAACGCAAATCTGTCTTGAGAGATGTGCAACCATAATGCTCCTCAGAAGCAAGAGTGTTGAGATTTTGCCTCTCATACTGTGGGCATGTTACCAGGAATGTGTAGTCTTTGGAGAAAGACAGGATGATAAAGAAGAGGGTACAGAAAAAGAGGAAAGCTAACAAGATGAATTGACACAGTGGTTGCAACAATGGGCTTAAGCACAACAGTGACTTTGAGGATGCCACTGGATCTGCTGTGTACCAGAATACTATGAGGCAGAGCTGACTGAACAGCACTTTCCAACAAGATGATTCTGTTTCATTTATAAATTGTCAGTTGAAAATAGTATAAGTACTATGTGTAAGTTGTAAGAGTACTCAGGCACAGAACATATGAAGCTTTTAGAGACAGTAACTATTATTATTTGGAAACTGTTTATGTCCTTGTCATTTTTCCTCTGCCCTTGGCAAGTTGATGTTAGTTGTCAATGGGGTGTCTACCTGACTCATAAGTACCCCCATGCACACAGCAGAACTGTGCCCCAGAGGTTTCCAAGCTGTGCACGTTAGAAAGCCGGTCACCAAGCCCATCTCTTAAGTATGTTTGAACCTTCTACCTTTTAGGAGTCAAGTGCTTTTAAACAAATCCCTTCAAAATGCCAACTCTGATGATTTGACACCATCCCTGGTAACAATTATTATCATGAGGTAACATCAGGAATATATATTACTGGGGAAATGCTGGCATAAATAGTTATTTAGTGACTGTATCTTCAGCGTTCACAAGATCTACAATGAAGAAGATGATTTTAGTGTGTTATTTCGTGGCCCCAATTTTGTCTATTTAGGTTTGCTGCAAGGAAACAACATTTTTGGTAGTTGATACTGACAAATAAAGATATTTAGAGTAAGTACAACATTACTAAATTGTTAAATTTTGCAGTAGGCCTGAACTGCTACACAAGAAAAACAGAAATTACATTTTGTAGTTTCCCCATTAAGTCGTTTTTGTACCACTGAAAAATAAACTTCTGTTTATATGTATGTAAAAGAGTTAGGACAGATCTCACTAAATAAGCATATTTAGTGTTAAAAAGATAGTGTCAATTATATAATCAAGGAAAAAAATTAAAAGTATGATACTAAGGAAAAAAACCCATAAAAATATCCTCCAAAATTATGGGAATCAGTTTTGAGTATAAAAGAAAGTACAAATGAGAAGCAAAAACAGATTATTGCCTATATTTTGTGAAATGAGGAAGGCAAGAGACAAAATGATGTAGATATGAAAAAAAAAATCAATATACTCCAATACTGGGCTTTTGAAATACTATTGTGTTTGAGCATATACGAAGTATAGACTAGCTCTCGAGGATACAAGTACTTAATACCTAACTTCTCCAGACTGCGGGAAGATTATTTTTCAGTTGAGGTCTTGTGATGATCATACAATCACAAATAAAAATGAAGGTTACCATTATTTATCTCAGTTATTAGAACATGCTGTATGTCACAGACATTCTCAATTATTATCATTTACTCTGCACTAGGCTAAAATTAGTAATTTATTTGAAGGTATCTTGTTTATAAACATTTGTCAGATTCTAATTTTTTTCTTTTGTATTAAAATTCAACTATGGATGTATATAAAACAAAATAAATGGAGATGGTTTATTTTTTAAAAAAAAGCCTGCCCTTCTGAGGGATGGCACTGGCATTAACTTTTTAATATGCATTTTAATTGGCAATTGACACTGTTTGTTTCAACTCACCTTGCCTGAACTTGAATCTTCTGTCACAGAAGCTGGGGGCACATCAGTTGACTTTTTCTGTACTTCTGGGGTTGGACATCTCTTCCCTCTGTCTTCTACAGATGTTTTGGCAGCAGTAATTTCACGTTCACTTCTACTTTGTTTTTTCACTCCTGTCATTTCTTTGGTGAGTTTTCCTGAGGAGTCTTTATCATCTTTCTTGGTTTGTTCACTTTCTCTCTTTTCTACTTCTTCTGTTGGTTTTGGTTCCTTCTCTTTGATTTCAGTTTCTTCCATTTCTTGTTTCTTTCTGGCTTTCTGCTCCTGTTCGTCCCTCCGCAATTTCTCTTTCTGTTCTTCTTGTTGCCTTTCCCGAAGTTCCTTCTCTTGTTTGCTTTTCTCCATTAAAAGAGCTGCTTCTGCATGAATACGAGCCTTTTCTTCATCTGTTAATGTGATGGCCTGTGGAGCGAATACTGGCTTTGTGGAACGATCAGGAACAACTTTTCCATCCTGAGAAGGCTCCTGGTCTATACTTTCAGATTTTATATTCTGATCATCAGATAATTTTATTGTTGGCTTTTTAGTACGATCAATCTACAACAACAAAAACAGAGCAAATTATATTTTCATCAAATTTCAAGAATGTAATCTAAGTTCTTGTAATTGCACAATAAGCATAAATCTTTTTTTTTAATAATTTTAATGAACATTTACAGACAATTTGGATTTCCATTCATTCACAGCTGCACTTCTCTACCCGCCCAGCCTTCTCCCCCCGCCCCTCCCAGTTCGCTCCTCTCTTTCAAAAGTAAAAGAAAGACTCCCTCTCTGGTACACAATCCCCCGAACCCCTCCCACCACCCCAAGTACATTCCACTATGCAACCTTAATTGTGGACTCTTGTGATAACCATAATACCCTATCACACATCGCTTTTAAATTATTCAGTCCCTCATCTGTTTCAGTGCAGTATACATAATTTATCCAGTTTTTCTCAGTCTTACCCCACCCTGATATCAGTCCCATTTTACAGCAGTGGCACCATGCAATATTTGTCCTCTTACGACTGAGATATTTCACTCAGCATAATGTCTTCCAGGCTCACCCATTTTGAATAATATTGAATGAGTTCCTTGTTTTTCAATGCAGCATAGTATTCCATTGTGTGAATATACCATAGCTTCTCTATCCATTCGTTTGTTGATGGGCACCTGGGTTGTTTCCAACTCCTTGCTATTGTGAACAGAGCTGCGATAAACATGGTGTGCATATATCTGCTTGGATGTCAGTTATGGTCTCTCTGGGGTATATTCCCAGTAGTGGAATTGCTGGGTCAAATGGTATCTCTATTTGCAACTTTTTGAGAAAGCACCATACCACCTTTCGCAGTGGTTGCACCATTTTACATTCACACCAACAGTGAATAAAGGTTCCAGTTTCTCCACAACCTCGCCAGCATTTGTTGCTGCTTTTCTGTTAAATTTTGCTATTCTGACTGGGGTGAGATATCTCATGGATGTTTTGAAGCATAAATCTTTTGTGTTAATAATTTTGTGGAGACATTTCCCAGAATATATATTCTGAATCAAGGTTTCTCAAAAGGTAGAACTTACATGGGAGACATTAAAACATCACTAGCACTCAACATTTTTTTATTTCACTGTAATATGTGAGAGATACTGCATACTAGAGCACGGGCCTTGGCTTAAACATTTTGCCCTCTGCTTGCCTTACCTGAAGTCTTGGACTAAAACTAGCCAAGTTCTCAGATATATGCTCTCAGAGTAACATATTCTCTTACTTCATAGATGTATTGGCATTCTGATTAATGTTTTAGTTAAAATTTGTTTTTTCTCCTATAGTAGGAGACTGTATCTGACAAAAGGTCAACAAATATCTTGCTAAGGAAGTATTCTGTAACAACTTTCACAAGAGATAAGATATTAATTGGTATTCTCTGAGTAATAATTAAACTGCCTACTAAGAAAAAAGTTAAATGTTATCACCTCAATCTAGCTCCTGTACCACTATTTGCACCACTGTTAGAAGTCACCAAACACAATTTCTTAAGAATAGTTTACTGAAACATGAATAGATGAGCATATCTGAGGAATAATAACCTGCACAGTATCCCTACAAAATTAATTAGTCAAGAAATCATTGCTTTCTCTTCACTTCTTAATTCTTCCTGAAGCAAATGAAAACATATACTCTCTTCTCTTTTTGTATTATTCAAGAAAGAAGAAACAAATATGGGAATGAGTTAACAATAAAACGTTAAACCAGCAAGCAAAAGAAATGAGGATTTGATACCATTTTTCAGTAACTCAATTAATTATTCCCCAAACTAAAAAAATAGCTCTTATAACATCACTTTTTAGTTTAAAATTCTTCAAGGTTCTCCTTGGCTTACAAAATCAAATTTTAAGTCTCTCTTAATAGCTCTTCCCCATCTTTCCAATATTACTTATAATCACACTCTTAACTTCTCCAACAGAGACTTGCATGCAAGCATACCAAATGCCACTCACTGCTCCTTGAGCATGTTCAACCTTTGGTCAAGTACTTTTTCTACTTGTCCCTTCCATCATCAAATCCACCTCAGCTAGGTTACCTAAAATACTACTTTCATGACAAAGACTCATCTAATCCCCTCAGTTAAATTTTTTTCTCCTTGATCTATTCTTAATGGATACTAAGAGTTCTGTTTGGGGCAATTAAAAAGTTTTGGAAATGAAGACTGTGGTGATAACAGCACAATATTATAATTAATGGCATGCATTTGGCAGTTAAATGTTTAAAATGGCAAATTTTGTTACATATATTTTACTATAATAAGGGGAAAAAACATGTAAATGAAAAGGCATAGATGAGAATGAAACTGAATTTCCCTTTATCATACACATATCTTATATAAAGCAAACTATTTGGGGAAAGTGTTGTTGGCAGGCATCAACTTGGCTCTGGCACACAGTGACTTCTTCATGACCATCAGAACTAAACACTGTCCTGTGCCACCCTCATGATCACTGCTGTGCTGGAGCCCACTGCTGCAATACTGTGAATCTATCTTACTAGGGACCCTCCTTGCATTTGCCGACCTTCTACTTTACAAAGCAGGATATCCTTCTTTAGGACCTAGTCCCTTCTGAGAACATGTCCAAAGCATGTGAGAGAAGTCTCATTGTCCTTTCTTCTAAACAGCACCACAGCTGCACTTCCTCCAAGACAGTTCTGGCCATTCTTCTGGCAGTTTATGGTACATTCAATAATCTTCACCAACATAATTCAAAGGCATTAACTCTCCTTTGGTCTTCCTTATTCATTGTCCAGCTTTTGAAATCATATCAAGTGACTGAAAATGTCATGGTTTAGATCAGGTGCACTTTAGTCCTCCAAATGACAGCTTTGCTTTTTAACACTTCGAAGAGGTCTTTTGCAATAAATGTGCCCACTGTAATATGTCATTTGATCTCATGACTGCTGCTTTCATGGGCTCTCTCTGCAGATGCACACAAAATTATATCTCTGACGTCAAAGTTTGGGACAATACTATGGGGCAAACGGCAACACAAAACGTTGAAAGGATTGTTCAAGTTCACTATAGCAGTACAGTCTTTTAACTGTACCACTAGTAGTAAATGGAGTGCCAGCTGAGTTTAAAATCGTTTCCATTATCTATTAGCTATGGCAGTAATAATTACAAATAAAAATTTTAACAACAAAAAGGTCTCCCGAAATATTCTTTTCATTGGTACTTTTTGTTCTCAGATATTAGAATTTATACATAAAATTTTATCACTTTACTACACATTTAATGTTAACACAAGAGACAATAATATTAAAATAAAATCTACAACATACCTGTGGAATACTCTTTATAATAGGCACTGGCTGTACTGCAGGTGAAACATCAGATTTAGAAGTAGCAATTGGCTCAACTGGAGTTGATACATTAAGTGGTCCCAATCTCTCGTCTTTTAATTCTCTATTTTCATCTACTTCTACTTGTACCGGAGGAGGCAGCCCTCCAGCAGTAGATTTAGACGGAACCGGCTCTTCCAGAGATGGGTAAGTAAAATCCACTAAAATTCCCAAAAGAATAACACATTTTTTAAGAAGAGCAAACCACATAATTATGCCTTTTATGCCTAATACATGTCATATGTGAAAGTTAAATGTATTTTAAATGAAGAGACAACTACAGAGTCAAAGAAAATAACTTCCAAGTTGTGCATGTCTGGTATTTTTAGTGTCAAAACTAAAACTGCTGATAACTAATAAGACAAATGTACACACAATGAAAAAATGTTACTCTGAAAATAAAAGTAACTTATTTGAAAGTGTACTTTGATGAAGCAATTTAAAATAAAAATTTTCACATACATACATGAGATAGACACCTCTTCATTCTTGCCTCGTGGGGGTGGAGTGATTTTAGCATTTGTTGTGTACTGGGGATAGCAAAGAAGCCAGTTTTCATAGCCTCCTTCTAAAACTAAAGGTTCATTTCGCAGGACAGTTTTACTTTCCCACTATAAAATAAGGAAATAGAGTTTTTAATATGGTAGCAGTCTCCTGACAAAAAAAGGTAACAAAGCTGAATTTTAAAATTGCTCCTACGAAGACAATTCAGCTTCTAAACACTGAAAAATCTGAGAACGGAATTAAAAATTCAGCATTAAAATACTAAGTATAGTTTTTAAAAACCATACAACTCCAGTCTCAGCAGAAAATTAATTCTACTGATATGAAATAAAAATAAAGCATGATCTCATTACCAAGAGCTGTATCACTTTAGCATTTTGTAGTTTATCCTTTTTTTTGTAGTTTATTCTTAATGACACTTTTCTATCTAGATACACTTTGTGGAAATGGTATTTTATAAAACAACTAAACTTCCTGCTGCTGCTTTTCACTTATTTTAACATACTAATAAAACTATCATTTCTGTAATAACTACAGGATATTCCATTTTATATAGACATATAAAAATTTAATGCCATTTAAACACTTGTTTTTCTCCCAGAAATTCATTAACTCTCTTAACTTTAAGAAGTGGGATAAAAGAATCATTTTCAGGGTTTTGCTATATATTGCCAATCTCTGAAATCTTTTATAATAATTAGTATTTGTATATTTTAGTAAGATAAACTCTCAGAACCAGAAGAGTTGGTTAAAAAACACCTGCCTACAACTAAAAGTTTGTTGTTATTGTTGTGTACCGTAGAGTCGGAACTGACCCACAGCTGAACCTACGGCATGTTTCCAAAAACAGTTAACTCTCACAGGAGGACAATGCCCATATTCCTCCCATGAAGCAGCTGGTGGCCTTGAACTGCATGTCTTTGGGACTGCAGTGGCCCTTCTTGTCACAGGGCCATTCCAATTGTTTTGTGATTTTTACTAAACTAGTAGACAAAAGCTCTGGTGGCGCAGTCTAAGAAGTTGTGCTACTAACCCAAAGGATGTGCCTCTCGGGCAGTTTCAATTTACCAGTGGCTCCATAGGAGAAAGATGAGCAATCCCCCCGTTTAATTTATAGCCTTATAAACCAAATAAGCCGGCTATGAGTCAGGTCTGACATGACAATGAGTTTTCGGAGTAGACAAAAATGGTATTGTATTTTATATCGCATTTTTTTAAACTAAGGAAATTGAGTCCTTCCACTTCCTAAACAGCATGCCTCTGGAAACTATTAACTTTGGTAAATAATGATAGTTATAGAAAGGCTTCAGGCCTTTTGTTCATAGGGACGCTATGAGTTGTGTTTGACTCAACGGGAATCACAATGACAAAACAATCTTATTTTTAAATTTTTTTTAATGGAGTTGTTTAATATTTTATTGAGGAGTGTGACTATCCCCTGAGCACTATGAAAAACAGGTTTTGTCATATATGTTAAAATATTTTTGTTCACTGGCACTTTTTTTTTTTTGTTCATTGGCACTTTATACATGGTCACATCTACTGACGTTCATTTATGCCATTTTGGTTTAAAATCAAGATAATAAAAATATCTACCAATGCTTTCCTCTATTATTCCTGTTTTAATAAATACATTTATATCTTTAATCCATTTGGGATGTATTTTTGTCTAAAGTAAGATAGAGATCAATTTTCTTTCATATACTGGCTTGTCAGCTCTCTGAAGCCACTCATTTCAACCTAGCCTTTTCTCAGTGATTTAGGTTAGCTAAACTATATACTTGCATATCTCTTTTTTTGGGGGGGTCCCCATCCTTTTTTCTTGTGTACTGTCAAAATGGATCCAACTGGCACAGGAAGAGGTTGCCCCTCCTTCTCCAGCAGACCATTTGGTGGACTCGAATCGTGTGCCTTCGGGATTGCAGCAGTTTCTTGCCACTAGTCCAGCAGAGGTCCCTAAACTTTCATTATCTCTTAAGCTGAATTTTATGAAATTGTTTTTTATAGATTAAAACCAGATGAGTGTTGGTGGTTTCTTATTAATACTCTGTGCCTAGACTTCCTATTTTAAAGCATGAACAACGTTAATAAGGCTTTTTTAAAAATTTTAATTTTATTTTATTTTATTATTTTGTGTGTGTGTGTATTGTCAAATCAGATCTGACTAGTACAGGAGGAGATTGTCCCTCCTTCTCCAGCAGAGCATCTGGTGGATTCAAACTGCTTACCTCTGGGATTGAGTGCAGCTTCTTGCCACTAGGCCACCAGAGCTTACCGTTAATAAGACTTTTAAGACACAAGGCAGCATTAACTGAACTTCTTACCAGCAAAATTACTTTCATTTCCACCAGCACTCAGTTTGCAATAAATTAACTGAGTATTATTTCTTGCAATCTTTTTAATGTGATCAGCAAAAATGACATTTCAATGCTCTTAATTTACATTTACTTGATTTATTAGTAGAGCTGACCATTTCTTTAAAAAATTTTTTTATTATTATTAATATTATTTTTTATGTGTGTACCATCAAATCAGATCCAACTGGTACAGGAGGCGATTGTTCCTCCTTCTTCAGCAGAGCATCCGGTGGATTTGAACGTGCACCTCTGGGATTGCAGTGCAATTTCGAGAGTTGACCATTTTTATGTATAAGTTCACTTGCACTGCCTTTTTTGTTCTTGTCTATGTCCACTGTTTATTTTACTATAAAATTATTTCTTATAAAAGACCTTCAGAATTTAGGTTTCCTTTGTATTTTTAAAGTGTAAGTATAAATACTTGTTCTAGAGAACTTCTGAAACTTCAAATACCCTATTTTATATAGATACATTAATTTTATAACAGTGACACAAAAGAAATCTCTTAATGTGAATAAACAAACAAACAAACAAACACAAAACTACAAATCAAAGCATGACAGGTCTTCTTGTCTTTAAAATGAATAGCTAGTCAAAATTTCCTTCTAATAGTAAGAAGGCTTGCAATGACAGTAAACTAACAAAGAAATGTGCTAACCTTAAAAAGTGCATCTTTCAGACTCCGTAGAGTTGTTCCAAGCTGTAAATCTTTTGCAGAACTAAACCAGTCAAGAAGTACCACATAATCCACATTCCCTCTCATCTTCCATCTATCTTTAGAATCATTTGGGAGGTTTGCTTCAATTCTACTAGTAGTGTCTCTGAAATGTATTAATATTTTATTCGGTCAAAAGTAGATAAGAAGTCACAATATATTAATATATGATACTTAATTTTGTTTTACAGCCTCTCTCACACCACAGCAAACTTTAAGACCATTTAACTGCTGTAAAATACTCAAATATATTTGGTAATAATTAGAAAGTAGAAACAGACTCAATTCTCTGACACTTCGCAAAAAAGGGAGGAGAGGAACCAAGCTCAAAATAGAAGAAGTCTTCTGTACATCTTTCCTAACCAAATATAAAAAATGGTACGTCATCTCAATAACACTTGCATTTGCATTTTCCTACACCTTTAATTATTGTTGTATACTGTCAAGTCAAAACTGAGACATAGCTGATCGTCCAGTGGATTTTCAGATGCATTTAATCACATGGAAGGAGACTGCCCTCTTTCTCTTTCGGAGTATACAGGCTGACAGTGCAACCGCTTACCACTATTAGTTAACCAAATACTTATTTAACAGATAGATAGCACTTAGTATGTGCCAGCCACTGTTCTAAATGCTTTACAAAGATCTCATTGAATTTTCATAATTCTGTAAGGTACTGGATTATCCCCATTTCAGAGATGGGGATAAACTGAGGCATAAACACCTTAAGTAACTTGTCCAAGGTTATCCTTGACAAGCGGAGCCAGAATTCAAACACAATCTGACTTACATGTATGCCGTTACCTGTTACACTACACTGCCTCTTAGAGAATCAACAGTATAGAATATCAACAACACTACATGAAAGCATGCTATTTTCCTCCTTTTACTTCAATGTTGTTCTTTGTTGTTATGTGCCGTCGAGTCGCTTGTGACTCATAGCGACCCTATGTACAACAG